TTTTAAAGCATTATGGTAATTCTTAATCACTAGTTATTTTTTTCATAGCCTAAAGAAATCAGAGGCATTGCTGATAGAATTAATGACAAGAGAAACAATGGTGAGATTTTAGTTCCATTCAGACCACCCACATCTCACTAAAAGAAAGAGTACAACCCGAACAAAGTAGTCATTATCCCAATCAAAAACTGAACATAAGGTTTTATTAGTACTTACATAACTAACTCTTATTAAAACACCATGAAAACTGTATAATGAGATCACTGTTATTCTGAAATGCTTGGGGGTTTGGATTTTCATATCTTAAATTTCTAAAATCAAATGTATATACTGAATGTATAGCTAGACACCTGATCACAGGGTTTCTGAGAAATGTGTTTTTTAAATAATTCTGTGTAATGCCATTCCTTGACTAAATAGTTCTAACATTTTTTTAAAACAAAGTTTGGTAGCTTATGTGTTTGAAAACTACTTTAATGGATTGCTTGGTTTGTTTATTCTTAGTTCAAGGCAGAAGCATCTTGACATTTACACTGCTATTTTCCTGCTTTCAGGGATTCTAACAAAAAAAAAAATGCCTTGACCTGGATTAGCTTGAAATGGTCCTCTGAACTTTCACAAGGCCATTTTGGCTATCTCCAAAAGAATGTACTTTATCATAAACCTGTTGCCACATCTTTCATAAGGATACATGTATAGGCACATGGACATAATGTCCCTCAACTTACAAATAGTCTGTGTTCTCTAAGTCACTGATTATAGCCATCTTTGTGTACTCTGATGTAACCTTGGAGAAATAATGTTAGAAATATAGTTACTTAGAGACCCCTGCAGTCTACTTAACCAAGATGTAACTGAAAAAATTCAGATTTTGAAAGAAGAATAGGATGATTTTATAACTTAATCAGTGGATTTCTTTTAGAGGTAACATTTAGACTTTAATTCAGTTTTAATGATGGAGCTTAAGATGTTCACTTTTCTAAAAGTACCATTTCTTCCTGGTACCCATTACTAGACACTGGCTTATGTCTGCTTCCTTCTCAAATTCCTACATCCTTCAATTAGAACCACTGCAATGGTAAACTTTGATGCTTCTCCCCCAAACCACATCAAATATCCTAAACTTTGGTAAAATTCTCTTAAAATTCTGCCTAACCACAGTTGATGCTGCAGAAATGTGTGAGGGTGGGGAGAAAGGGGGATAGGAAGGAAGAGAAATTATTTCTTTCTAATTGCTATCCTTTAAATGTGTAAACATAGTAAATGTGTGATCTTATGCAGATATTCTACCCCAATGCATGAATATGAGTTCATATTGCTATATCTAGGATCCATATATTTGGGCTGCCTATTAACAGAAAACCTTTACTAATCATTTTTGCAGAAAGCAGTTTTGAAATCCCATGGTTTCTAGTCGAACATTTAAAATTTTCAAATCAAAAGTCTCTGTTCCCACTCATTTAAAATGAAGGAGCTGGTAATATTTAACTTTAACGACTATATAGACTGAATGTATCAGTGAATGAAAAAAAGGAAATAATAGATACAACCTCAGCCTCAAGAATGCATGCCTGTAAACCTAATAATTGATGACAAGGCCAGGAATCTTGCTGAAATTTGCTAAAATAAGCTAGGAAGAATACACACACACGATAATATTTCAATCACAAAATGGCTGATGCCAAATTCTAAAACGTAGTTCCAATTTTAAACATTAATACATGTAACAAAATCTGTCTCAGGAAACCAAAATGCTTACAGTGAAATTCCCTGAACACTTTAAAAAATGGATTTTAACCTCTTTTTTTTAAAGTACCTTGATTTATTTTAGAAGCTAGTATATTCAAATAATCTGTTTACTCTTTTTTTTAACTCCATATTTAATTCCATCCCCTCTCTCCAAATTTTTTTTTTTTTTTTTTTTTTTTTTTTACTTTCTGTGGAATATGGAAACCTCTCAAATTAGCAAATGTTTACTAATGGAAAGCAATATATATATATATATATATATATATATATATATATTTAATATTTAAATGAAATATGTACCTCACTATAGTGATTCTGGTGGTAAAGAACCTTTTGTGTCATATAATTTAAAAATATCTCTCCCTAGGCATTGTGGAAAAGAGGCTTTGGAAATGAGAACACTAGATAGTCAGGAATAAAAACAGCATAATGATATATAATTATTTTATTTTGTAATTATGAATTATTATGAATCATCTTCTCACATCTTATTCTCATTTCATCTCACTTTATGTTAATATTAACAGCCTATTGAGATTTTCTGTTTTAGAGATGAGCATCTGGTTCTCATGTACTAATTAGCTTGCAGGTCATCTGAAAGGAAAAGACACATTTTAATGCTCAAATGTCTTCTCACTTTTGTAAATCCCAAGCACAATGCCCTTTCTCCACTATCACTTTTCTTTTTTAAATATTTTTTTAGTTGTTGAACCTTTATTTTATTTATTTATATGTGGTACTGAGAATCGAACCCAGTGCCTCACCCGTAGGAGGCAAGTACTCGTCCACTAAGCCACAACTCCAGCCCCTCCAGTATCACTTTTATATGGCATTCTTAATTCTGAGAGCTATTCTACTGGGAACTAGTAAGATGCTGCCGGCAAAAGGCAATATTAAAACTACATTGTGTGACCAAAGAGCAGAGGCAAGTCAATGAAGAAAGGTGGAGTCTAAACAATGTGCGACAATGGAACATTTCTGTGCAGAAAAAGAAAAATTTTGTATATAAGCCAAAACTTATATACAAAAATAAACTCAAAACTGTTTGTAGACCTAAGTGCAAAACACATAATAATAAAACTTCTCGAACATAGCGTAGGAGAAACTCTAGGTAACCTTGGGTTTGACGATCACTTTCTCAATACAATGCAAAAAAGCATGATGTGTGAAGGGAAAACCAATAAGCTAGATGATGTTAAAACTAAACAAACTTTATATCAGCAAAGATATAAAAATCTCTTTATGAAACATATATCCGATAATAGGATGTTATATCCAAGTTACAGGAAAGATTCTTAAAATTCAACAACCAGAAAACAAACAGCTCAGTTTCAAAAAATGGACAGACTATTGCAACAGATATTTCATTGCTGAAGCTACAGCGATAGAAAATAAGCATATAAAGAGATGCTGCAAATCATGTGTCATAGAGAACTGTAAGTTCAAAAGAACAGACCAATATACACCTATTAAAATAGTGCATTCCCAAACCACTGTCAATACCAAATTTTGGTGAGAATGTGGAGCAACCAAAAGTGTCATTTATTACTGATGAGAATGTAAAATGGTAGAGCCACTTGGGAAGAAATTGGACAGTTTTCTTATGAAGCTAAATATCAGTTGATCATATGATCTAGCATTTGAACTCAGGAAAAGAATGTCAGATATGTATCCCTTTAAAAACAGTAGCAAAAGTTTAGCACAATATCAAAATATTTCACCATAAGTTTTCATCCCTAAAGTTTGTTATATGAATCAGGACATTTCATAATCAACATTTCAAGGCCTGTACAGCTGGGATAAAATGTACTCTGTTATAATATTACTCACAGAAAAAAACAATACCATTTGTTTACTCATTATTAACTCAGGGGCAGCAAATACTTACTTTTCTATGAAAAAATACATGATAAAGTAAATTAAGTCCATACATGTTATTGAAGGGGTAAACAATTTACTAGATGGAAAACTTAGTTTATAGAGCTGTCTTTTATATCTAGTGCAGGTGCCAGGAAAAACAAATGAGGAGAGTTTACTATTTTGTCATATATCAAATATACTCATCTTGTATGATTTTTATTAGCCTCTAAATTTTTCTTAATAAATTAAGAAAATAGAAAAAAATTACTAAATGTATCCCAAAACATAACGTGCCTAATCTGCTAAGGACTTTTTAATAAAGCTGGATTTAATGTGGTTTGATTTTTCTCTTTAGTTCTTATTACATCTACCATCACTGCATTTTATTTAATTACGTTGTTCTTTCTGTTTCCCAATCCTGCACTAGAAGAACCTGTTTAAAAAAAAAAACAGGTGTTTTTAACGAGGTGAATGCTACATCTCTGATGCTTTTAAAGAATGCATGGAGCATACGGTTCCTTTAAAGTATTTTAATAAGTGACTATTTTCCAAAGTCTTACTGGGTCATAGTGTTAGAAGACATTATATAAAGGCTGGGCATGGTGGTAGATACCTGTAATTCCAGCAGCTCAAGAGGCTGAGGCAAGAAGATCTCAAGTTTGAGGTTAGCCTCAAAAATTTAGCGAGGCCCTAAGCAGCTTAGTGAAACTCTGCCTTAAAATGTAAAAAAAAAAAAAAAAAAAAAAAAAAAAAAAAAAAAAGATTAAAAGGACTGGGGACATAGGGTTTAATCCCTAGTACCTACATTTTTTTAAAAAAGGATATTATATAACTATGAATTTTAAATGTAAATTTGAGTTTAAAATCATAAAGAGAAATTATCAAACACCAGAAATATGAAAAGCTTTTTTTTCAATAAAAGGATTTCATTTTACTGTCTCACTTTATAGACATAGAAGTTAAGATGTGGAGAGAGCTTAAATGCTTGTTGGATCACAGAACTTTTGTCCTAAAAGCCAACATCCTAAAAACCTTGTGTTACCCAAATATTCAGATGCTTAAGGCATCCAGACTAGGATGTAATATCCACAGAGCTTTAATTCTGTTTGCTTTTTTCAGTAGCCATATCACATTTGACTGATGCTGAAATTAATGTAAAAATATTCTTAGTTATTTTCTATATGGTTACTGTTAAAGTAAGTTTTCTTAATTTTCTATTTTTACATTTGAACTTTTCTTTGGCAGAGGGATAGCCTTCAAATTGTAGATGTTATGGCCTCATAGTTTTTTTTAAGTGTCGTGTTCACAGAAAATACATATTTTAAAAATTAAAACAACTTAATCTAGGGCAAAAATCAATAAATAAATACATTTGGAAATAAATATCCTACCTATAAAAACCCGGTGGCACCTGCTGCACCAGGAAGCTCTTCTCCATGTCTTGGAGGATGTCATTCAACATCCGAACACGGACAGGAGCTCTCTCCTTGGGATCATTAGCAGGTCGCATTTCATCTGACTGAAAGAGTTCAGCACTCTCCCGCAGTCCTGATGCCAAGGCTAGCAGGTGCTGAGCATTGGGATGATCACCTGTGGAAGATAAATGAGCCATCTCAGAAGAGACATACTCAAAGGAGCAAAGTCAACTTCTGCCATTGTGACTCTAAGTTGTAAACTAGGCAGACCACCAAGATGAAGTGTATTGTCTGTGACAGTTCACTTTTTTTTTCCTGTCACTTCATAAAAAGGAATGTAGGTATTTGAATTTTGCCTATCACAAGGAAAAGATTCCACATCAATTAAACTTTGATAACGTATTCATTTTGCCAAAAGTGTTGTCTAACCTAGTTTTCATAGTCTACTAAATTAAGGTTATTACTACCAGTCATAGTAGCAGTCAATAGATACTGATTGTGGAGAGATTGCTATATTACAGACATTACCTTGAGCACTTACTTAATTATTTTATTTAATATTTACCAAACCTTGCATTGTCAATTCATCTTATTAGAACCTGAGAATGAAGTAAGGTAAGCAAATTTCATAGGTCATCAAGTAAGGTAGTAACAGTCCAGAATTAGAAGCCCAGTTTTTCTGATTCAAGTATTTACACTTACCATGGAGTATTCTCTATTAAGAGAAACTATCCCAGTATAGTGTCAGTTTTGTTTTGATTTGCTTTTGAGAATTGTTTTGATTTCTTTTACTTGTTTTGCAAATTACTGAAAGTTATTCTTATGCTAATGGTGATTACAAGAGGTACACAAGTCACTCCTTTGATTAAGAGAAAAGTAGCAATATAACTGTAATGGACCCTGAACCCTGGAGACAGTCCACCTGACACTCCTTCTTCACCCTATACTATTTGAGTGATATCGATAAAGTTACTGAGCCTCACTGTCTTTAATTATAAAATGAAAGTAATGATAGAACCTACTTTTAGATTTGTTATGAAGATTCAATAATTAATAAATATAAAGGATTTTCCCTACAGGCAAGCAGTTCCCAGCTGATTTGTATTGAGACATCCTTTAAATCTCTTTCTTTTGTCAGGGGCATTCCTTCATTCTCTTCCAGACATTCCACCATATCACTTAGTTTTTAAGTGAAACAAAAGGTGGTGTCATTCTCAGGAGACTCGGGTACAAGTGACTCCAACAAGGTCAGCACATCACAACAGAGGATTATTTCAAGGCAGGGTGATGAATGAATACAGACCGAAAAATCTAAGTTGGCAGTCTGAGAGTGTGACAGTGAGACAGGCAGATGGAGGGATTTGAGGAGGTCTGATGTTGCCTTCATTAGGGAGAGTCCTGGATCAAAAGGACACATCATGTAAGTACTCTTTCCAAGTGAAATCCAAGAGATCACCAGCTCCCCAAACACTTCATGAAAATGCAGATCCTCAGGTCTGCTTAATCTTTCTAGGGGTACAGCCTGGGAATCTCCATTTCAATACGTTACTCCTATTATGCACCTTAAAATTTAAGAAATACTGCAGAAAGGTAATAATAGGTTAAGAAAAGGAAAATAAGTTTAGAAGTAGCACTGATGCATGAAATAGGTGAATCATAGAATAACCAACCTCTGACAAAATAATCTTTATTATTTTTCATTTAAATTTAATGGGGACTGTCAATTTCTTTAGAGTCCAGTGGAGTACTGACACTCAATAATTGTTTACTAAACAAATCCAATAAAGCATGTTTAGAAAAAGTCTAATAATAAAATAAAATTTTGTAAATATATAATCATTTTGTAAAGGATACAATGAGATAAGATACACAGGCTGTGGTATAAGGAGCATTTTCAGAAAATATAATAATTGTTTTTATTATATATGCACAAACCTAGTAAAAGACTTTGGTAGAAGAAAAAAAGGATACCTGAAGCTAATATGTAACTCCCTGTTTACTGAAATTAATATGAGTAAAGTCACTTGTAGGAGTCCACAAAGTTTTGGCCTTTGATATTCTTAAAATACATTTCACATTCATTATCTTGTTTGATTTTACAACAAAACTTGAGGTTGCTGGAGCAAGTATTTTTATTGATTGTGCAAGTGTAATCCCAAATATGTTGCTCAGAGTTATTTTATGAAGATTTTTCTTAAGTTATAATGATTCACCAAAGTTAATATATAGCGAACTTAGAGGGAGTATCTGTACAAGGAATGCATAAGATGAATGACTCACATTCGGAGTACACTGGAATTGAAAGACTGAACAACAGAAAAAACAACTTCGACATCCTTGAGAGTCTTCCATTTAAGAAAGAAAAATCTGTTCTGATCTAACATACTCTACAGAATTGAAGGCATTACTACTGAATCAAGTGAGACAAATTGTACCATTCTACCTTATTTAGCTTTAAATGAATTTATCTTTCATGGTGGAGCAGATTTAGAAAATTGACAGCTTCAGGAACTAGCTAGTTCCAGAAAGAACCCTGACATAGAAACCTGCCACACACAGGTACAGTATGCATTGCCTCAAGGGTTCAAGGTTACAAATTAAAAAGCATCTCTGCTTTCCATGTTCCCTCAATCATTCTGATATATAAATAATTCTCCACATAATTCCTAGTATCCATTTCTCTGGCAATTAGAGCTTGCTTTTTTTTTTCTCCTTTAAACAGGACCCAGAAAGAAATGCCCCCTTCTTCACTGGAGCTTTGGTGATCCAGAAGGACTGATCTTTTGTGCCCCTTGGGACCTGCAGTAGAATGTCCAATTTGTGAGGGAAGACATTGCTGTCTGATGCACTGTCATTTCCCTGACACTGAAACTGTACCAGGAATTTCATTCAACCAACAAGTGATTGCACTGTGTACTTTTATCATAGCATCAAAGCATTTGCAATATTTTTATCCTCATTTGCCTTGTCTCTCTTGTTTTCTTGATTGAAAAGAATCACACATGGTCAGCAAATGTTTTGTCTTTGCATTTTCAGATGCTTGCATAATAACTGTTCTATGGTAGTTATTTATTAAAAATTTTGTTGACAGAATGTTGAATTATAAGATAATGCCTTCTTTGAGATATATTATTATGTTAAACCATGTCCACAAAATCATTCAAGGGGGATGTTTGGTGCATAATGAGCAACAATAAATACTATTTAATTTACTTTCCTCCAACAAATCAATTGTTGGAAAAGAAAAGAAACTTAAAAGAGAAGAGGTAATTTAAGGTAATGAAAAATTAAACTAAATTGAATTAAAATATTCCTTACAAATAAGCTATAAAAACTAACATGTAAAATTTCACTTAAGGCATAGTGAATGTTGAATTCACAGAATTGAAGAGGCTATTAAAAGTTTAAGTTTAATAAAACAATAAGTCCATTCGACCAAAGAAATTGAAGTGGAAACTAGAGATTTGTCCTAGACAGGGTTATTTTTAAGTTATATGTATGGATTCTAAACACTAAGCACTTAATGTTCAAAGACAGATAAAAAGAGGCCAGTGAACATAATTTGTATCAGTGCAGTCTTGAATAAATTACTCAAATACTGTCCTTCAGTATATTTGGGGAAAATGATGGTTCCACTAAACACAGTAAAGGAGTGAATCTAGAGTGTTGGGATCATGAATTTACCTAAACATCAAACTTTTAAGACGAGCTCTTAAAAGTTCTAGGATTTTATCTACACTGAAGCATTGGAAAGAGGTTGTTTTATCTGTAAACAACAATATTCATATCTTACTTTCTTCCCTCAGTCTTCACCCTTCTAGTGGATGGATCTAATTCTTACATAAAACTTTCCTTTCATAGCTTATTATGGAGAGAATGGAGGTGGATATTATAAAAGAGACAATGGACACTGAGATGGATTTTGATATCTGAACAGGTCAACTCAGAAAAGACCTAAAGGTGTATTGGAGGAAACAAATCAGGGAATCCTCTGCCTTCCAGCCAACTTTTATGATTACTGCAGATCGTCCCCTCAAGACAGTGTGGTTCATGAGGCAGCAAGGTACAGTAGGAAAGGCAGATTCAGGCCTAACCTAGGACTTACTAAATGTATACATCTGGCCAAGACACAATGTCTCTCTGAGGCTCAGTTTCTTAATTTATAAATTGGACTTAATCCCTAGCTCAGTTCTGAGCTAGAGTGAGGTGGAAATGTCACAATGCCAGAAGCTTTGTAAAGTGACCTTGATAGTATAGCCTAGGTGCTTCCCTTGACTCAGAAGGTACTCCCAAAGTATCTTTCAAGTGTAGATCAGCAACTTCCTATCCACATATGACTTCCGGATAAGACCTTTACCTGCAGGGCTGACTGCATCCACTGAGTCACCCAGGTTCCCACCTGCCAGGGTCTGGGCCCCGTAGGCACCAACTCTCATCTGAAACACTTCACTGTGTGATGAGTTTCATTGGCATAAACTCCTGTGTATTATGTCTGTTTTACAACTTCTGACAAATTTATACCAGTCCTATTTTAAAGAGTGATTTTACTGTCTATTATTATGGTCTCTTCAGGGCTTTATACTCCAAAAGTTTTGGATTTTAGTTTATTTCTATTTCTCTATCTTTTGGTTCTATTTTGTGGCTGTAGTTTTAAAAATCCACTCGATTTCATTTTAAATTAAGAGTGAAATGTACTGGTCATACCCTAAAACTGCATTTTTATATCAAACAAACACAGCCTTTTTCTTTAAAGTATTTCACAGTACCTATTCTTCTATGGATGAGCTTATCACAGTTTTAAAGGTGCTAACAATTGCACAATCACAGCTTAGACTTCACTGATTTATAGTGACAAGAAAAATTATGATTTATGTTGCACATAATATGGTGGTTAAAAGCAGAATAGGAGATTATTTGGGGAGGAAAATGTATGTTATTTAATATCATCTTCAAAATATCTTGTGGCATCACTAAAGAGAAGAGAAAAAATTGCCAATATGATTTCAGCCAGTGGAATCAACAATCCTTCATTTTTCTACATTTTTCTATTCTTCATGCTGCCTTCTTTAGTATGAATCACACTGTATCACCTTGGCTGGTTAATAAAAGATGTTATACAAGCAAAACTCAGGTAAAGCCTGAAATATGTCAGCTGGTGGAGTATTGATACTCATA